GGGGGGGGGGAATCATCAAATAATGAAGTTGGCATCACCACGCACGTTTTTCCCTTATTTTTGTGGCACGTGTATGCTATATATGGAAAATATATGTATACCTCTTTACCAGATGCACTGTACCGTGTAGCATACTAATATACATATAATTACCGAGATATATGTTAGTGTGATGAAACACGTGGTGGTATGTTCTGTTTCAATAATATGTCCTGAAATATAAAGTTGTATGTTCTCTTTGACTGTGTTGTGTTACATGTAGTGACATGTTCTATTTGACTGTGTTGTGTTACATGTAGTGACGTGTTCTCTTTGACTGTGTTGTGTTACATGTAGTGACGTGTTCTATTTGACTGTGTTGTGTTACATGTTGTGATATGTTCTCTGTGACTGTGTTGTGTTACATGTAGTGACATGTTCGCTGTGACTGTGTTGTGTTTCATGTAGTGACGTTTTCTCTTTGACTGTGCTGTGTTACATGTAGTTACGTGTTCTCTTTGACTGCGTTGTGTTACATGTAAGGACGTGTTCTATTTGATTGTGTTGTGTTACATGAAGTGACATGTTCTCTGGGACTGTGTTGTGTTATATGTAGTGACGTTTTCTATTTGACTGTGGTGTGGTACATGTAGTGACATGCTCTCTGTGACTGTGTAGTGTTACATTTAGTGGTTTGTTCTCTTTGACTGTGGTGTGGTACATGTAGTGACGTTTTTTCTTTGACTGTGTTGTGTACAGCAATGTCTTGTGCTGTACAGCCGAATCCGTTGCCAGCATTAAGGCTTTTACATGTAGTGACGTGCTCTCTTTGACTGTGTCGTGTTACATGTAGTGGCATGGTCTCTGTGACTGTGTCGTGTTACATGTAGTGCCATGTTCTCTGTGACAGTGTTGTGTTACATGCAGTGACATGTTCTCTGGGACTGTGTTGTGTTATTTGTAGTGACGTGTTCTATTTTGTTGTGTTGTGTTACATGAAGTGACATGTTCTCTGTTACTGTGTTGTGTTACATTTAGTGACATGTTCTCTTTGACTGTGCTGTGTTACATGTAGTGGCATGTTCTATTTGACAGTGTTGTGTTACATGTATTTACATGTTCTATTTGAATGTGTTGTGTTACATTTAGTGACTTGTTCTCTTTGACTGTGCTGTGTTACATGTAGTGCCGTGTTTTCTTTGACTGTGTTGTGTAACATGTAGTCACATGTTCTCTGTGACTGGGTTGTGTTACATGTAGCGACGTGTTCTATTTGACCGTGTTGTGTTACGTGTAGTGACATGTTCGCTGTGACTGTGTTGTCTTACATGTAGTGACATGGTCTCTGTGACTGTGTGGTGTTACATGTAGTGACATGTTCTATTTGACTGTGTTGTGTTACAGCAATGTCTTGTCCTGTACAGCCGAATCCGTTGCCAGCATTAAGGCTTTATCGGGCATCAACGTCGCCTCCGTTTGCGGTGTAACTCAACCATTACTCGTAGGACTGGAAGAAGGCAACTTCGACCGCCTGAGGGAGTTATCGCCCTTTCAACGCCTGCTCTCACGATTTGGGTTCGCAAGTAACCAGAAAACCATCAAGGGTAAGTCCACATTTCTCAAACTTTTCGAGCTTTACTGAAGAAAATAATATTCCCTTACCTGGAGCAATGCTTTTTTGAGGGGAATTTTCTTAAATCAAATAAACTTGTTTTAGTTAAGATACGAAATGAAACCGAAGTCTGCTATTACTCCTCTAGTTCCTATTTTATGACCTACGCTATAATTAGAAATAGCCAGCCGACTGTTACCTTTTGCACTGCCTTTTGTAGACGTTATTGTCCGGGGGACGATGGCACAAGACAGCATTGGACCATTTGTCACCAACCGTCAATGTACCACAATGGCATATGAAGCGTTGATTTACCAAGCCTACCGAGGACTTCCGGAGACATGGACATCTTGGGATGTTGATACCATTCTTCGTCTTGGACACCGACAACATAGTCAGTTCCGATTTGTCGACAGACTCAGTACACACTTGGATGGCAAAGTGGGAGTGTACCAGTTACCCAACATCTACAGGGTACAAACTCTTCCAATGTTTTGTTCGGGTTCCATGACCGGCGATATCTCATTGCTCCGTGGTGTCAAGATCATACATCTGTCTGACACAGACGGGTGTTACCAGTACGAAAGTAAAGAAACGGCCGGCGCAATGTCCGGTGTAGCCCCGGAGTTCCCTGTCTTCATGGCTGAAACATTCACAACGAATACCACAGCAGCAGTCAACATAGTGCTCACTATCGGGGAGGTGTCCATGGCAATCTGGAGGGCAGAAGGCGACACTCGGTTGTGGTTATTTGACAGTCATCGGAGAGGCCCTACAGGAGGCGTTCACATCCTTGGTACTGTGTTTTGCCCCTCTGACCCTGGTGCAGCTCTTGTTCGCTCATTCCCAGACTTAGACTCACTGATGACCCACCTTGTTGAACTGGCTGGAACCAATTTCGTGTATAGCGCCGCATTATTCAGTATTGACGTGGTAAGAACAACTGAATTTATATTGAATAAGCTGTTTTAGAAAAAAGAGCAGTTTATATTTCGTAAGACGTAAAAATGACATTAATGTATAACACGCTTTCGATCACGTCTTTGTTAAACAGAACCACATGAAGAAGATCTTGCTTGATTCATAAAAAAAATAGTATAAAAAATCCCAGTATCGTCTTTCTTTCCTCAGGACCAAGCTGTCTCTTCTAGCACTGAAACCGAAAGACGTCCCATGGGTGTCGGACAAGGAGGCGATCCCGACGCCGGTAACGATTCCACACACCGGGGCAGATTTAGTGGTTTCTCACGATGTTGGTAGGTAGTGTAGACGAGATGTCGGCAGTCAATGGGTCTTCTCCCTTTTTTACCATGAGAATAAACAGACAAATTGAAGCATACCTAACTATACGGATATGACATTTTCCTTAAAACATCTCTGTACAAGTCATGAACACATCATTGTTGTTATTACACACTTGACGCATTGTTTTCCATATCAGTTATAAATTCTAGCAAAAATACGGAGTATGCGTTCTCAAAAACACAACCTAAAGATTGTATCTAAGCATGATCACATTTTTCTATTCAATAGGGGAAAGAAAAAGCAGAAACTTCCTCCTTAGAGGAAAGAATTTTGAGTGGAATGCTGGATACCTTCACATCTGTCGTCAAACTGCTGTATAAAATGGACAGAAATGACCATAAGTCCATTTACGAAAGGAATAAAGGAATGCGTTGACTTATAACTCCGGAGCCTCAATCATACAATCCACGAATAAATGTATGGGGAAATCTTGCCTAACATACCTTGAATACATAGGAACAGCGGGTGGATGGTCCTCCTTGTTAGACGTTTCGGCGCTTATACACGACGTCCTCCAGGGGTGCGCCGACTTGGTTGATCAGAAATATACAGAAAGTACCTAAATCACACTAAGAAATGCGTGGATTGGCCGTACAAGCCCATGGACGAGAATGCTGCACAACGCGTGTATTCCCAAGGAATGTGATGCTACATTCATGTATTATGCACAGTTGTTAAATATATTTCGAAAACATGCTTGCATTTATAAATGGTCCAATTGTACGTTGATCTACTGATTTTATTTGTATTTCGTTAATCTATTTGATCAGTAAATGATGTCAACATTAATGTTTTGTGTATTTACTAATCATCTGATATTCTCCAAAATGGTAAAAGCTGATCTATATGCTTTTTGATCATTGGCCAACAAATATTATTCATCCAAATATAATTAAAAGGCCGACATACAACAACAAGAGATTATCGTAATGTCAACAAAATCATCATTCAAAAACTCAGAATCTATGAAACTAGGAAAAATATGATAATATGAAAAAGGAAACACTTACAAAGAAATCCTTAAAAAGTGCAAAGAAAATACGACCAGGCGTTTAGGAGAGTAAGCTTACTTCATAGACGACACCTTCCATGTAAATCAAGGCAAACTCCAAGTACTGTTACGTCCTCAAAGCGAACACCGGGACAATAACAATGAAACAAGGAGACATACTTAAAGCGAATGGATGTAAAGGTCCCGAAGCTGAATAAGGAAACAACGTAATGCCAAAAGGAGGAGGAAAACACGCCATTTCATTTCCTCGCGTTTACGTTATTTTCTTACTTTTGTTTAGCGGTTTTTTTTCGTTCTGTCGTTTTGTTGTCTTCCGGTTTTAAACATAAGGGGACACAAAATATGTCTTGTTTCATCATTAAAGGTAACGTTGTAAACCAGCGTTTGCCATACGTTAATGATAGTTTGATAACTAGCAAAGGTATGCATCAATATTTTTGGTCGTTGCCGGTTTAATATTGCCAAATCATCAAAATCCAGTCAAAAGTCACTTGTAGACAATGTGTAAAAATACACTTCCAGTTTATATTTATCTCCTTGCCTGCAGATCTGGGATCGAGAGAAAGAATACACTGCTGCTACCCACTGCATGAATCGTAATAGGCGACAAATGTGCGAACCCCCTGCAGAATTCGGGGGTTTGTTTCTGTGCCCTCTACTTGGGGACACAAAAGCGACCAAATACATCAGCTGCACCCATTGCAATGTTTGGAATCTTTATCTTTCTTTCTACTTCTAACTACCATTTATTACCCAGCGCCTTGCTTGGCAACACCTCACTTTTGGCTTTAATGTTGAACGTTTGCCCAGGTGAGGAAGACTATGGGTTCTGTCCCAAGGCCGGGACATAACAAAGTCCCTTAAATGGTAGTTGTTATTCCCTGCTTAACAGTCAGCATCTAGGATAATGGCAACATCTGGTTCACCCGTTGTTAGAATAAAGTGACCGGAACTGTTACATATTATGCCATACACATTTGTTGCTTGTTGAGATAAGAACTGGAAGTAGGCTATTATTGCAAGCGCTTTCTACACATAAATATAATAATTCGTTTGAGAGAATGGGTTAATTTGGCTACTTTCTACTTAATTCATGTAAAAGCGGTTAAATGTATATCTAGCAATAGTATTTAAACATTAGTTTATGGACATGTTTAGAAAAATATATCGACAATGAGAACGAATAGGCGTGGTGAGGTTATATATGTCATTTGTACTGATATACAACGGTCATAAACGTTCCACATAAACGTCCAACAGGCTGTGCTGTCGTAGGTCGGAAACCAGGAAACCAGACCTTAGAATGGAGACACATTTAACATTGTTCCACGTGTCCTTTTGACAATTTTTATTCGGAATAACAAATTAAAAATATATCCTAACCTTTATGTTGGACATTGGAGTGTGTCAATAGCCTGAAATAGAAAACAGGTCACTTGCATGACAGATAAGAATCTACATTCAAGGATCTTCAAATACAGTTCTATTACGTATATTTGTAATTATAAAAAAAAAATCGTATGTTACGCCTCCAAGACATGATTTGTGGTGTAATGATATATTAAATGGTGTCAAATATCTATTGTCAATGTGTTCGACATGAATTTATCACGAATTTGTGTATAGAATACGTCACTGTCCGATTGGAGTTATTACGAACCAGCTGGCGCTGATAAGAAAGCCTTCCTATTCACTATGTTTGATACGTTTCTGTGCGAGAAAACAAAGCTATGTGCGCGACCGAGAAGGCGGGGTGGCTGGCCGCCTGTGGTAGGTACGTCACGTTATATCTAAGGGTAGTATGTCTCACCTACCTCATTTGTGCCAACGTGCAGTGACGTTGGAAGCTTTGAGGTGTTGGTGTACCTTTTGGGTGACAATGAAGTAATTAGGTCAGGGTGTGACGTAACCGGTCGACATACAGTGAGTAGATTAGATTACGTTTAACTTAACGGAAACATTCCCAGCTGTAAAGAAATATCATAAACTCAAAACATTGAAAATTTTGAAAATAATTCATTTTAAAACGGGGGATATTCAATGGCAATATCAACAAAATATGAATTAAATAAGTTAATATGTTGGGAATGATGGATCAGGAGATCAAAAACAAAGATGTAACATATATGATTAATTAACGAGTTCAACTCAGAAAATAGTCATGTTCAAATAATGAAGGAAGAACATTTGGTAACCCTTTTCCAGATTTCATTATGATTGATATTTACATGTAAATATAAACTGAATAGCCTGATTGTCGGAAAACTCCGCATTGCTAAGGGATTCTATTTTATTTTGCGACAAAAAATATTCACCGATCCATATTATTGCCTTGTAGAAATTTGTCGATTTCCGTTCCTGCTCATTCATTAATTCTATCGTATTTACCTAATGACACAATCTTTACATTTTAGTGTTGCCCACCAACACAACCTCATCATTTAACTTTAAACAACTGACATTGCCTCACCATTGCAGTTCTCACGATAAACAGAACCTCATCATTTCAGTTTTATCCACTGACCCAACCTCACAACCTAAGTGCTAACCACTGATACACCCTCAACGTGTCAGTGCTAACTACTGACACAACCTCATCATTTAACTTTTAACAACTGACATTGCCTCACCATTGCAGTTCTCACGATAAACAGAACCTCATCATTTCAGTTTTATCCACTTACCCAACCTCACAACCTAAGTGCTAACCACTGATACACCCTCAACGTGTCAGTGCTAACTACTGACACAACCTCATCATTATACTTTTAATAACTGACATTGCCTCACCATTGCAGTTCTAACGATAAACAGAACCTCATCATTTCAGTTTTATCCACTGACACAACCTCACAATTTAAGTGCTAACCACTGATACACCCTCAACGTTTCAGTGCTAACTACTGAAAAACCCTCAACGTTTCAGTGCGAACCACTGATACAGCCTCATCGTTTCAGTGCTAACTTCTGATACACCCTCAACGTTTCAGTGCGAACCACTGATACACCGTCAACGTTTCAGTGCTAACTACTGATACACCCTCAACGTTTCAGTGCTAACTACTGACACAACCTCACCATTTCACTGCTTACCACTGATACACCTTCACCATTTCAGTGCGAACTACTGACACAACCTCACAACTTAAGTGCTAACCACTGATACACCCTCACCATTTCAGTGCTTACTACTGATTCACCCTCAACGTTTCAGTGCTAACCACTGATACACCCTCAACGTTTCAGTGCTAACTTCTGATAATCCCTCAACGTTTCAGTGCTTACTTCTGATGCACCCTCAACGTTTCAGTGCTAACTACTGATACACCCTCAACGTTTCAGTGCTAACCACTGATACACCCTCAACGTTTCAGTGCTTACTACTGATACACCCTCAACGTTTCAGTGCGAACTAATGACACAACCTCACCATTTCACTGCTTACCACTGATACACCCTCACCATTTCAGTGCTTACTACTGATTCACCCTCAACGTTTCAGTGCTAACCACTGATACACCCTCACCATTTCAGTGCTAACCACTGATACACCCTCAACGTTTCAGTGCTAACTACTGATACACCCCCAACGTTTCAGTGCTAATTACTGACACAACCTCACCATTTCACTGCTTACCACTGATTCACCCTCACTATTTCAGTGCTAACTACGGACACAGCCTTACGACTTAAGTGCTAACCACTTATTCACCCTTACCATTTCAGTGCTAACTACTGGTACACCCTCACCATTTCAGTGCTAACTACTGACACAACCACGCCATTTCAGTGATTACCACTGATTCACCCTCACCATTTCAGTGCTAACTACTGGTACACCCTCCCCATTTCAGTGCTAACTACTGACACAACAACGCCATTTCAGTGCTTACCACTGATTCCCCCTCCCCATTTCAGTGCTAACTACTGACACAACCTCGCCATTTCAGTGCTTACCACTGATTCACCCTCACCATTTCAGTGCTAACTACTGCCACAACCACGCCATTTCAGTGCTTACCACTGATTCACCCTCACCATTTCAGTGCTAACTACTGACTCAACCTCACCATTGCAGTGCTTACTACGGACACAGCCTCACGACTAAAGTGCTAACCACTTATTCACCCTCACCATTTCAGTGCTTACCACTGATACACCCTCATCATTTCAGTGCTAACTACTGATACACCCTCACCATTGCAGTGCTTACCACTGATTCACCCTCACCATTTCAGTGCTAACTACTGACACAACCTCACAACCAAAGTGTTAGCCACTGATACACACTTCCCATTGCAGTGCTAACCACTGACACAACTTTTAAACAACTTAAAGTGTTAACCACTGACATAAAAACACCAATTCAGTGCTAACTACTGACACTACTTAACATTGCAATGCTTACCACTAACACAAACTCACCATTTTGTTTTTAACCACTGCTACACCCTCGCCATTTCAGTGTTAAGTCTACTATGCTGGGCTCTCCTTCCCGTCGATGTGAATGGCGTAACTCAGTCAACGCAAAACGTTAGTAGCTCAGGTAAGATACACCGTTCGCCATTCTCTCAGTCCATGTTGGGTTCAATCAAATCCAAAACATTAACACTCATTATATTTGACTTATTCGAAATCTACAAGTTTGTTCAAAACCTGTAGCGCAGATTGCCCATCTTGCTTTGCGACGACGTTCTGACACTATCACAACAGTTCCTAAGGTAACTGTCAGTATACATCTATCTGCATCACCAACTATTGCATCATGCAGAGAAAACGTTTTGAACGGAGTAAAACAAGCAAATTCTGACTTAATTTGTTGTCATAACTTTAACTGCTTCATCAACAAAGAGTATTACAAGAGAGTAGTTAATATAGACCACTCCTAAGTGTTAAATTAAGGTATACATAACGACTCCCTATTGCTCACTTTCAACAGACAATCTTCTTAATGCTAATGAAGTATGTGAATGGTTGGTATTTTGTTTTCTAAAGGTTTGAACTATATACAGGTGTGTTAAAAACAAACAAACAAAACAATAATAAAACCAATTCAGTTATATTTTAGTTCACTTTCCAATTTATAGCAGATATATATATGTATTGATATAAGATATGATGCAATAAATCTTTCAATATAACCAACACAGAATGGCTTACTGATTCAATCACTGTATACCGGGAAACTATCGCCCAGTCAGCTTTCGCCCTTCGCCGGTAAAATCCATATTCGCCTAGTGTTAATATCGCCCTTCACATTGAGTTGCTATTTTAATTTTGTTGTTTTAATAACTTCACTGTGATGATAAATTCTCCCTCATTATGGAGGGCGAAAATCTGCAGCAAAATTTCACAATACAATACTATATGGATATCATTAAGTACAAGAAATCTTTTCCAGTGGTCAGTCTTTAGCACACGTATGCAGTGATTGTTAAGATGTTCTTTAACAAAAATAGCATTTTATATTTTAGCCCTCCATGACCATTACCGGTGTATGTATTGTCATAAGGCTGAACACATAATCGACTGCCTTGATGTTATTACATGCGCACCACACGAGGTAAGGATGTGTTATCACAGTACAAAATGTTGTCATATACTGTGCAGTCAGTTATTTTCGTGGGGCCGGAATATCATGGTTTCCCCACAAAACATCATTTCGTGGGTACATTAATTCGTGGATTACGAGTATCCATTCAAACGGAAAATTGCTTAATGTCAAACTTGTAATAACTTCGAGGACCTAGGATTAAAATTATCAACGAAATCAACGAAATTAAAAAGTCAACGAAAATTAGTGATTTCTCAGAAACAAACTGTTTTACACGAAACGGCGTCAATATCCTTTTCACAGTATAGACAAATGACAAAATTATGTTATGCCTTAGTGATGTCAATTAAGTTATGCATTTGTATCAATAAACGTATATTTTTGTCGTTAAAATTAAATTTAAAGATAGGGGGATGTGTCAATGCTGCCTTGGAGTGTAGAATGTGGGTTAGTACCGAGACTTGCCTAAGTTCTGAGCTCTGAGCCCCAATTCCACATTTGTACTCCAGACTGTAGTATTTCCATATCCCCAATACCTAAATTTTGATTGATTCTATTTTCCAACTCTTTTTCTAAGAAAAGTCGTAAAATAAAAGGTAGCACTGCGAATGCAATAAAACAGCAGATTTCAAAGTGCAATTCAGAAATAAGGCTGATATAATCCTGGACACTGGAATTTATTTTACACGTTGTCTACATGGGACACACGAATCTCGAGGTGGGAACATGCTGTCAAGAAGTCGATAAACGTGTAGTTGTCAATGACGTTCTCGTGGTTAAATTATACTGGTGTCAATACATTTATTATTTTGTCCATGGAGTTACCATCTGTTCTCTTTCAAATCCAGATTTGTGATAAATATATTACCTTGTATCTCCTTTCAAACAACTTATAATATGCAATAAAACTGAATAATGTTTTGTTTTGCTTTGTTTGTAATACTGTACTTAACTCTAGGTATGCTACATTGAAAAGGAGGTGCTAGCCAGTGGATGGCCAGTCATCAATGCAGGTTGTCGCTCTCGCCATGTAAGTTTATTAATTCTGTGATGGAATTTTAGCAATGTTGAATCAGATATTTTCGTTGAGCCCATATTTCTCGGTTCCCCGAAAAAAACCCACTAAAGGATGGGTTTATGAATTCGTGGATTGCTCATACGGAGAATGGCTTTATATCTAACTTGAACTTGTTTGCCAATTGTTGAAACTGACATCAACAAGTCAACGTTACTATTTTTGGCCTTTGCGGGGAAATTTCCGTCGACATTAACCAGAACAACAACCATTTATTGTCATAAACTATTTATTATCGTCATAATAAAATTTGTATTGCCCTTGCAGTAGGGAATCCCGATTCTTTGTTTCTATGAGGTTAATCATGCTCTTCAGAATGTCGAAACATGTAAATATATATATATATATGAATAAATCAAAAAACAATAATACAGTAGTAGAAATGATCAGGTTGACGCACCATAGTTGTCGTCTGCTTCCGTCTTTCGGAACTAGGTTGTGCCACCTCTTACCAATTTTTCTAGAGAGGATCCGAATAAGGAAAATATGATCGGGGAAACCTGAGCGCGTGAGTATCATTCAATCAGACAAGCTGTTATAAAAATGAGGTGTAAGAATATGTATGTATACTTGTGTATCCCACAGACTTGTAATCTGAAGACGTGTTTCGGGGAGTCTATGCACGGGTACGCCCATGCGGTCAATAAGCGATCCACATTATCCTGTCATCATTGTTGTGAGGGAGAGTTCTGCAATCTGTATGGCTGCCCCGATAGTGGTAAACAGACTGTCATACTTTTTATTCCTTACTGGTTATCATACATAGTCACAAGTATACATAATATTGTTCTTTTTTTACCAAATTCATCAGCAAAGCAGTTGCCACTACACAAGGAAAAGCATCACAAGGAATGTCACCAACAGATTCGTCTTATCATTTACTTGACGAGATAACGTGATAATGTATTTGCATATAAATATTCAGAATCGTTGTTTCTTGGGATATTATTTGGTATTCAGAAGAACGCTTTAACATTGTTTCATAACACAATGTGTTCTTGTACATACATTCAAACTTGTTATTTTAAAGAACATCATATCTTATTGTATAAAGTTATTCGTAGTTGATGTTTCAGATGACATGGTGATGTTAATGTGTACATATATTCAGACTTGTTGCTTCAGAGGACCTAATGGTTGATTGTGTACAGATATTCAGACTTGTTGCTTCAGAGGACCTAATGGTTCCATTGTGTACATATATTCAGACTTGTTGCTTCAGAGGGCATGATGGTTCCATTGTGTACAGATATTTAGACTTGTTGCTTCAGAGGACCTAATGGTTCCATTCATTGTGTACAGATATTCAGACTAGTTGCTTCAGAGGACCTAATGGTTCATTGTGTATAGATATTCAGACTTGTTGCTTCAGAGGACATGATGGTTCCATCGTGTACAGATATTCAGACTTGTTGCTTCAGAGGACATAATGGTTCCATTGTGTACAGATATTCAGACTTGTTGCTTCAGAGGACATGATGGTTCCATTGTGTACAGATATTTAGACTTGTTGCTTCAGAGGACCTAATGGTTCCATTCATTGTGTACAGATATTCAACCTTGTTGCTTCAGAGGACCTAATGGTTCATTGTGTATAGATATTCGGACTTGTTGCTTCAGAGGACATGATGGTTATATTGTGTACAGATATTCAGACTTGTTGATTCAGAGGACATAATGGTTCCATTGTGTACAGATATTCAGATTTGTTGCTTCAGAGGACATAATGGTTCCAATGTGTACAGATATTCAGACTTGTTGCTTTAGAGGACCTAATGGTTCCATTGTGTACATATATTCAGACTTGTTGCTTCAGAGGACATGATTGTTCCATTGTGTACAGATATTCAGACTTGTTACTTCAGAGGACATCATGGTTCCATTGTGTATAGATATTCAGACTTGTTGATTCAGAGGACATAATGGTTCCATTGTGTATAGATATTCTGACTTGTTGCTTCAGAGGACCTAATGGCTCCATTGTGTATAGATATTCAGACTTGTCTAATGGTTCCATTCATTGTGTACAGATATTCAACCTTGTTGCTTCAGAGGACCTAATAGTTCCATTGTGTACAGATATTCAGACTTGTTACTTCAGAGGACATCATGGTTCCATTGTGTACAGATATTCAGACTTCTTGCTTCAGAGGACATAATGGTTCATTGTGTATAGAGATTCAGACTTGTTGCTTCAGAGGACATAATGGTTACATTGTGTATAGATATTCAGACTTGTTGATTCAGAGGACATAATGGTTCCATTGTGTACAGATATTCGGACTTGTTGCTTCAGAGGACATGATGGTTTCATTGTGTACAGATATTCAGATTTGTTGCTTCAGAGGACATAATGGTTCATTGTGTACAGATATTCAGACTTGTTGATTCAGAGGACATAATGGTTCCATTGTGGACAGATATTCAGACTTGTTGCTTCAGAGGACATGATTGTTCCATTGTGTACAGATATTCAGACTTGTTACTTCAGAGGACATCATGGTTCCATTGTGTATAGATATTCAGCCTTGTTGCTTCAGAGGACCTAATGGTTGATTGTGTACAGATATTCAGACTTGTTGCTTTAGAGGACCTAATGGTTCCATTGTGTACATATATTCAGACTTGTTGCTTCAGAGGACGTGATGGTTCCATTGTGTACAGATATTCAGACTTGTTGCTTCAGAGGACGTGATGGTTCATTGTGTATAGATATTCAGACTTGTTGCTTCAGAGGACATCATGGTTCCATTGTGTATAGATATTGAGACTTGTTGCTTCAGAGGACCTAATGGTTCCATTGTGTACAGATATTCAGACTTGTTGCTTCAGAGGACATGATGGTTCCATTGTGTACAGATATTCAGACTTGTTACTTCAGAGGACATCATGGTTCCATTGTGTATAGATATTCAGACTTGTTGCTTCAGAGGACCTAATGGTTCCATTGTGGATAGATATTCAGACTTGTTGCTTCAGAGTACATGATGGTTCCATTGTGTACAGATATTCAGACTTGTTGCCTCAGAGGACCTAATGGTTCCATTGTGTATAGATATTCAGACTTGTTGCTTCAGAGGACATGATGGTTTCGTTGTGTACATATTTTTCAGAGGACATGAGTGTGTTACCGTCTACCCGATGTATGGCCTGTGATGCCGTGAAAGATCCCGTCCTCTGTGACAAATTGATTAACTGTCCATACTCACAGGTGAGTCAATTACCCATTCACATAAGTGCTAACTACCTCACATGCACGTGAATATTGGATTTCACAAATTTATAATCTTTGGTGGAAGAGAATCCCTCTTCTATAGATCTGGGTTTGTATTTACACTGCACCTATCCTCGTTTGAATATTTTATTCATTTCGCTGTTAATTTTGGTATATAGGCTCATCACTCTATATGACAGAAGACTTCGTTTATTGTAAAACTAAGAAGGCTGTCTCGTGTGCAATCTGCGGCACTACCATTTAGTTAGCTGTTCCAGAGGCATATAAATGAGTTGAAGACATTCGCAACGTGTTTAATTATTCTTTTAGTTACTTACCGTCTCAAAAGTCAACACACACGTAAAACACCAAACGACACGTGATGGGTAAAACATTAACTCATAGCTATTCATCCGCACAGAACGACCGAATCAAATCATGTTAATCTTCATTATATTCCGGGATTTATAATGTCAACATTATTTTTCGCAGCAATGTGTATCGTATGGGGTGTTTCATGCTGGTGGCCTGCGATTTGAATTAGGATGCGAAGAAACATCGGTAAGATTATATCCTACATATTCTTTATTACCGGTATTGTACATTTACTTTGTAATTGGTATTGTATATCACATTTGTAACTGGTATTATACATTTAGTTTGTAATTGACATTTACATCAAATTTGTAATTGATATAGAACTAGATGTAATTGGTATTGCATATCTAGTAAGCATTTGGTATTATATTTCAAATTTGTAATTCGTATTGTAAATCTAGTAGGTGACGTTTATAGCACATCCAAGGTGCAATCGGTAATATACATTCCTGTATGTTATTGTTTGTTGTCTAATATCATTAGGATTCAGTGTGTGATTTGCAATTCATTTGGTATGGAATCTGAAATAATTTTGACATTGGTTTAAAATTGCTTTCTATGGATGAGTTAAGTTTGTACAAGAATGAAGATGACGTCATAATATTTGTCGTAGAATAAAAGTATAGAAGGGAAAGAAGACAATTTAAAATTATTGTTGCATGACACAAAGATTGCATTCAATTAGCAGAAACAAGCAGCAGAAACGAAATTTGTTGACGGATGAGCAGAGAGACAAGATGACGTCATATCATGTATGTTTTGCTGTAGAATAAAAGTAGTAAAAGAAAAGAAAAGTATGGCTATGGGTGCCGCAAATCTGTGTAGGTGTTTTTATTTATCCCGTAAGCAGAGGACACAGAAGAACAACTCCGATTCTGTATTTAGCCGACGTTTGTATAGCCGTCCCCTATGGTGAGTCTGACATTAGTCGCTTACTGTAATTGGCGTGTAGTGGTTTAATTCTTTTCCCAAACAGACAGGGCACTCATATACAACTAGCACAACCTCTATGATTGTAAATAAAAACAAGTATGATATTTCATTCATTACAGTACTGCGGTGCTTTTAAAAACAACAGCAACGTAAAACGTGACGTAACTCACCATGTCGGTGAGATCGACCTTGCCTCCACGTGCTGTGATACACATTTATGCAACCGGAACTGGCCACCACAAGATCGTAAGTGTCGTTTTTATGCAGAAGAAGCTGAAAACATTGCAATTGTTATTTGTGAACCATCATTACTCTCAGTGATGCTTCAGCGATTAATGTAACATTATTCCTTGTTTCGTGGACAACTCAACGATTATATTTGATCTTCTTCTTTTTTTAATTGCAATGGAGTAGAACAATTGTGTGTCTTAATACTAGTAAGTAGTGTACTATGTTCTACTCGAATTTCTCTGTTGTACATACACCGCCAGCCTAAAGAAGCTTAAAAAGGCAGAAAGGCCTAGCAGTTAGTCTTGTGTACTTGTTGTTTTATCATATACATATGTATAAATCTTTGCAGAGCCGCCACCAAAGGTCATTTCAGGGTTCACCTGTCACCATCAGACGGAACGTCCCTTGCTGTCTACAATTATTGGATTGAGTTCTACACCCCCCACAGTGACGTCAGGAGGGCCATCTCGCTCACCTACTACACATGGACCTATCACTTCCGCACCTAGTAAATACTTATTTTATCAATGTCTCTTTGGTGAATAATCTAAATCATAATGCACGACTTCATTGTCCGAAGCGCTTGCTTAGGATTTGTCTTCAGTTAATAGAGTTGAACATTAAGTTCACTGTGCCTTTGCACAATATGTCACTCTGATTTAAGCTTATCTAACACTTCATACAGAGCTTTTGTAGTGTATTTATTTATTTTCGGAATCCCTCAAAATTCATTGATACAAACAGAAAACAACCTTCTACCATTGTCCTAAGCTTTAAATTACCAAATAGCATAGAGAGCCTGTAGGAATTTGACTAGTATCTTTAAATTGTTAAAATAAGAATTATTACATTTTTGCCAGAGAAATATCGGATTCTATCAACTTGATAAAACTGATATCTTTCACACTGTGGCAAATATCAAAAGTGAAAATATCATTTTTTGGTATTGACCAATCATAACGGTATCTTCTATTCGCTGCATTGAAAGGCAACGATTTTTTTGTTCAGATTCAAATGAAGCGACGATATAATAAGTGGTTGTTATGGCAAATGTTTGTTGGCACTTAAGTATTTACATAAATATGCAATTAATAATATTTTTATAAGCAATCATACCAGAAAAAAGCAGAAAACGTCGGAATTGCGTTGAGTATCCAATTCAAAATGGCGTGCAGCCATGTTGTCAAGCGTTACGTCACTAAAATATGGCGCTAATAAGTACGCTATTACATTTTTTATGTTTTATACTTTAAACATGTAATAGATAAAAAAAAAAGTTAATGGTGTCTTCAGTAATAACCAATATATTTCACGAGCGTGGCTAAAATTTCAATATTTTTCACTCGTGCTGCATTTTCAAAATATTAGCCACACTCGTAAAATAAATTTATTATTACTGAAGACACCAGTATATATCATCTATTAACTCTATCTGGCTTTCTGCGTCGACAAACTTAAGTTTTAAATATATGTTTCTTTACTTCGTATTTCTAATATTAATCTCAAGTAACAAAGTTGTTGATTCTGCTGGTTGACCATTAGTCCCCGAGGTTTAATTATCAATTCTATTTTAAGAATTATCTGTCGTAGCAAGGAGTTGTACTATTTCAACGTTATGATTTACATGCACTATTTCAATCTGGCTGTATTTGTACACATATTTCGGTACACTGAGGACATGCGTTTTTTTTCTATTTGTTTGACCTGAAATGCCACTGTCGCCTAATGAAAGAAATGGCCATAGTGCGTATCAGTACAATGTTAACTTCGTTTGGCTTTCTGAGTCGACAAACCAAATTCTTAATTATGTTCTTCCTTGTACTTCGGTCGTATTTCCAGTATTTATTCCAGTAGACACTTTCAGATGTACCTATCTGAAAACGCTGCATTGTGATGTGACCAAACTCAATGAAAATAAGCCTTTCCAACGTCTTTTATCACTGTTTTATTATAAAGACGTTGGTTGTTACTTACACCGTCCCTGATGATTCAATGCGATTGAATTTCAGACATAACCATTCCGACATCAGAAAACTGCAAAGACAGAGCTACAGAGAGCAACTGTAAACTTCTCAACATAACCAGCCAACTGTGTGATACCATATCCCTGACGTCGGTATACTACTGTGTCAAATTCTGCGGCTTCTGTAGTACGTATTATACCTGTTACTGGCTTTTGTAGTACGTATGATACCTGTTACTGGCTTCTGTAGTACGTATTATACCTGTTACTGGCTTTTGTAGTACGTATCATACCTGTTACTGGCTTCTGTAGTACGTATCATAGCTGTAACTGGCTTCTGTAGTACGTATTATACCTGTTACTGGCTTCTGTAGTACGTATCATAGCTGTAACTGGCTTCTGTAGTACGTATTATACCTGTTCCTGGCTTCTGTAGTACGTATTATATCTGTAACTGGCTTCTGTAGTACGAATTATACCTGTAACTGGCTTCTGTAGAACGTATTATACCTGTTACTGGCTTCTGTAGTACGTATTATACATGTTACTGGCTTCTGTAGTACGTATTATACCTGTTCCTGGCTTCTGTAGTACGTATTATACATGTTACTGATCAAGTCAGTGAGTAAATTAACATGTAACATGATATATCATATTATCACAATTTGAATTATCACAAGTAGATTGATTCTTGCACACCATCGTATACGTATATGCCATTTAAACTAACAGCATTTTTGTTGTGGCCAAATCATTAAGTATTGTGAAACCACTAATTTTCGTGGATCTTTTTTGTTTCGTTGATTTCGTTGGTAAGCTTCATCCACGAATTCAAAGGAACACGATGCAAAGTTTGACATAAAGCCATTCTCGGTATGAGTAGGTACTCGTAATCAACGACTTAATGCATCCAGGAAAGATATAAACCTTTTACGGTCTTTTCGGGAAAAACTAATTTCGTAGTACGTTAACGTTATCGTCTTTACCTTTGTTGATATAAAATAACATTTCCAGAGTATCGTTAAAAAATGTTTCATGTTTACATAAATGTTAAAAAGGATCTAATTTAATGAAATAAACACATTACAGTAAAAGCAACGAAATACCGGAATTTGTCAATAGATTAATTCATGTATGTTTCAACACAGGTCCGTTTCCAACAGCAGCACATATGATCTCAACGATCCCAACGATCCCAGTGTCAGGCAGCAGGCCAACTCCCTCAACACCGGTCTCGCATGCTACACAAGCGACGCCTGTCTCCTCCAGAACTTCTTCAGCACCAACGACACAGAAATCTACTCTAGAGCCATCTCACTCACCTAGCACAGCTGGACCTGCTACTTCCTCACCAAGTATTTATTTATTTTATTTCTTTTTCTTGCCTCAATAAAACCAAATCTAATGATTGGTTTCTTTGCCTGAATTGCTAACGTGATCTTTCTGTTCAGTCCAACGTTAGGGTTACGTTTTTAGTGTACACAATGATTAAAACTCAATATATACTTGGTATTGCTCTTTGGAATCCTCAAAGAGATCACGTAAAAATGGAAAGTCTTCATCACTTCAAGGTCAGGCATAACAATGTAGTTACAGCGTATATATTAAGGACGTCTCATCCGATTAAATCATACATGGAGCTAATATTCTCGGGGGAAATTGACTTGTATCTTTAGATGCTTCCAGAGTATCTGCAAAACACTGCATTGTGGTGTGACATAAAATAGAAATAATTCATTCGAACAAGCAAGAGTTTGCGTGTGCGGTAATTTTGATATTGTTTAGTTTAGTATAATGAAGTCGGTTGTCATTTATTCCGGCTCTGATGATGGATGGTCTTGTTACAGACATAACCATACCCTCAGCAGAAAACTGCACAGACAGAGGTGTAGAGAGTGCCTGTGATTATCTTAACAAAACTACCCAGCTGTGTGATACCATAACCATAACGTCA